AAGACAAAATAATCATAACTGATGATACAATTGATAGGAATCAAAGATGGCAAAATGGGAGGCACAAAAATATAGGAAAAAAAATAAAGCTCAAGTAAAGTGTAAGTAACAACCAATTAACCCATTTCTTGAAGATATATTGCTTGTGAAATGAACGATGATCGGAAAAGCGAAACCTACTGGAAAAAGCATCCTTAATCTCCTGCTCGGCAATACTGGTTGTATCCGGTACCATGTTTCTGATGATGCCTCCAAGGTAAATACGACGTTCACCTTGAGCTATAGGCCCTCCTACATGTATAAGGATTAGAGCAATGAAGAGATGTTTCTGGAAAGACAAGGAGCATACGCAAATAAACAAAAACGAACCATTGGTCTGCGCATGTGGACGTGGTGTCTGTTGTTGAGGTCGTGTAGCAGATGGAACATTTGTGGTAGCTGGTGCAGGGGATGGCTTTTGAGCAGGAGCTGTAGCAGTTACAGGAGCAGCAGGCTTAACTCCACCTCCAACTCGATGAGCCCATGTCTTCGGGGTATTATCCACGGGTGGCTCCGATTGTGGCGCCGCTGGAGGTGGCGTTGCCTCTACTTTCTGCTGCTCCACTTTTGGCTTTATGTCATCTGTCGGTGTTGGTTCTTTAGTGGACGACTCTGAAACAGGAAAAACTCTTCTGTGTACAACTCTCTGAAACGATAAATGCTCGTCCACAGCACCAAATCACTGTCGACCATTACATTGAACATGACACTCCTGCGCAATCGGATTGCATAAAGAACGAATTTTTGTAATGAGCCAATTTACCTTTACACATGAAGCACAATAGTAACTTACAAATTCACAACAGTTTCCAAAAATTGTCTATAACATACTCAAATATTTAGTTCAGGAGCTAAGCAAAACAGACAAACAGACAAATAGTAGAGTATAATATATCACGTAAACGAAGGCTTCTCAAAAATGTAAGCTCTGATAAAACCTATTAAGAAAACAAAAAATTGATATGATATCATGTAGTATAAAGTGACTCCTAATAATCCCCTATGTTATTGACCAATGAACATAATGGCTAGAGAATATGAAACACCAAAAAGGTCTACTATATACTACGCTGACACCAAAAAAGGATGCATAATTTTCACTTAGCGGGGCTCTTAAATATATTGATACAGCGAGAGTTCTTTAATAGCTAGAACTCTTCAAAAAACCTTTTTCAAATCTTCAACAAAAATAACTAGACTAACTAAATCAGCTCTGCTTTTGTGCGATAACCATATGATAAGAAGAACATATAAAGCATACTTATTGTCTCGCACTAATACAAACTGACAATCAGCTTGACTCTGACGGGAGTAAAAAGGAAGTACTATAAGGTATAGAACGTGTGCACGGAATAAATTATCCTACTCATGTGTAATCCCAAACTTGAACCATAGTGCATAATTCTAATTCAGTATTCTAATCCTCAAGTGCATG